ATATATATATATATATATATATGGGTCCAGTAACTAGTGACCTTTTATTGAAAAAAAAAAATCCGCTTTTAATTATTATCAGTATTATTTTAGTATCACTATTACTAGATACTATTACAGTTTTATTAATATTTTGAATTAGTTCTTATTTTTATATTTTCTGCTTTCATTTTAATGTTAAAGTTTTGGCATTTTTGTGTTTATCATTTTCATTAGTTTTTTTTAATATATCTATACAATTTTTATTAATTCATATTTTAGTTTTTCAGTTATTGCCTTGGCAACTAGCTGAAATAAGTTTACGTTTTTTTATATTCTATTTAATTTCAGTTCATGTTTATTTTATTTCAACTAAGGATTTTTAAAAAAGTTTTAGTTTTATTTAACTATAATAACCCTGCTTTTATGTCTTCACTAGATTATTTTGTTTAGCTTTGCAATTTGATAAAAACATTTTAAAAATAATCGATATTTAAATGTAGTCTCTCAATTATTATGAGGTCATTAAACGGCATGCAAATATAGAATTGTCATCAAGTCAAGAAGAACAGGCTTATTGTTGCAAGTCAATTTAGAAAAAAACAGTTGATTTAAATACATTTAGATGAATTACAACATGTCACCACAGCAGCCTTCTCTAAAACTGCTTGAAACTTTATATCAACTTCTCCAAATAATAATTGCACATAGCCAGACAAAAGAGAGGCATGATTCTAAAGCCAAACTCAAAATGATTACTTTGGTCTGAACCATAGACTGTATAAAAACAGGGTCTGAACATATGGAGAAGACGTTGATCATGAGACTGTACTGTCTGTACAGTAATCAACATTGCTGAGAGCAAGAAAAGGGTCATTTGATCTTCTCTGAGTAGCTGACACCACAGAAACCGTTAACACAGATAGGGCATTTTCCCTAAAGAACAGAAAAACCTGCAATTCAGTATCTAGAATACACTAAGTTATTTGTTTCTTGTAACAGTTTATTCTTACAGGCCTTGAAAAGTTTAAAACTAATTTTCTAGATAAGTTGGTGGTTAGATATATATATGGGCACCTGTCTTTATTCCACAAAGTATGTAATCTATAAGTAATTAATATCTTGCTAATGTGTTTTTTTCTCTCTTATGAATGAATGATGCATTTATATAGCGCTTTATCTCCTGAAATATGTTCAATCAGTCAATCGTAATTTTGTGGTTCTCAACTTTTTAAAACAAGAAAACAAATATATTAGGTAAACATGACTTAGAAACAACAACATTAACAACTGAAACGTTTGAAAACGTATAACTAAACACGTATAACTAAAACAAAGGTACTTATAATTCTTCGTGTTTTTGAAAAAATAAACAAATAACGTAAATACGTAAAACGTCGCAGAATTTCAGGCATTTGTGTCAGCTCGACGCTCTGAATATTTACATTATTAGAGCACTATTAAATGTTCTGAAGTTATCCTCTTTTACATTACAAAACATTATTTAAAAAGCCATACTACTATAAACTGCCGAAGAACAAATCGCTAGTTACAACTCAGCAAATGATTCCGCGGAACATTATTCACTGGACTTGTGATGGAGATGTTCGCTTCCCAAACTTCCCAAACAACCGCTTTGTCCAGCGCAGTCAGCTAAAAACCGACAAAAAGCCTCAACAGAACCAAATTCGCTCATTTATGCGTTAACGCAGACATGTACTTACAAAGTGAAGAAAATCCTAGTGATATCTGGTCATCCTTAAGCGAGCGAAACAGAGATTTTTTACTAATGACATTCTCCAGTGTCATGTGCGAGTGCAGGATGAGGCTCAACATCGCCCTCTATCGTCGACAACAACACACGCATTCAAAACGTGTTTGCAGCTACTACCAGGAGCAATGAAGAATAGCCTACATATGAGGCCAATTTAATGTAGATTTGGAAAGACTTCATAATATAAGGCCGTTGTGATAAATAGTAAACACGTGATTGGAGTAAATAAATGAGCTTCATTTAATCAGATCTTCATATCATCACAGGAAATGCACTGTGTAGGCTAGTTTCATTTCGAAAACACCACAAACTCTTAAAAGAGAAAGATTACATCAGCATCTACTAACTGCTTTTAACTAACCATAGCAATACAGTAGGCCTAATATTAAGGATCAGGACTGGTGGTTCTCACTGCACTAATGTAAGGGTTTTTACTGCTGTTTTTCAGTAACCCTTGCTTTTGAACCACTGGGCTCTGGCAACAACATCATTGGCGTAATCATCTCCTGTGGTGCCGATGTCCATGCGCTCATACGTTTGGACGTTCTTCACACCTGCGTTGTAGGCTGATATTCCCCCTAAAACAGACATTATACTACAACTGAGACTTGAGAGTTAAGTGATGAACTTCTATTTCCATTTAATTGTCTTTATGTTTATTTATCTCTCAGTGTAAACCCAACCTACCTTTAAAGCATTGCTCTTGTGTCCACTTGGGGAATTTTACTTTAATTTCTTTAATGAAGCCAATGAGTATGTCAGTGGCTTGTATGATATGCAGCTCACTGTCCCATGTACCTGTTGGAGCATGGTAGCGTTTGTCAACCTATAAGAAACATAATCAAACGAGAATGATTTAAAATGTTCAGAAATATTGAATGTACTCTGCTTATTTCTTGCTGGTATAAAAATGTCTTGCATGGGATATCTACAACTTACATTTACGAGTCAGCTTTAGTTTATACTCACCACTTTAAATCTTATCTCATGACTCATGTGCTTACTTATATTACTATATTTTGAAATAGAGAAAATCAGTTCTTCTGACCAACCTGCATGAGGCCAAAGCCATTGTCATGGTCGCCCCATCCATTCTTCAGGACGGCTCCGGCTCTGGACTCTCTGGATATAATGGCAGCAATCACAACTGGGTCCATCTGCTTTGCTCTGCCAACTTTGATAATTATACTCTTGTATTTCTCTATCCGGGCCAGATCAGTCTCAGCCAGTTTTTTGGAGGCTTCAACCCCTATGACAAGTGTTAATACTGTAACATGGTGCACACAAAAGAGTCATATGTGAGTTGTATGCAGTCATGCATTCTCACCCTTTATGGTTAATTTGTCTTGTTTTGCTGTCTTCTCTGATGCACCGGTGGTGTCTATTTTCAGGATGTCTCCATAAAGGCATGCTAGAAACAACATGGAAAATATCACCTGAAACCCTTAAATAATTATTTATGCAGAAAATGTATGCAGTGCTAAACTATCACAAAATGAAAATACTGTATCATATAAAAAACCGTCAGCACCTAATATTATATGACTTACCCATGATGTTGATGTAGAACTGCCGTGAAAGAGCAAATCACTGAGTTTGATGAGCCTTCTCACTAAATCAGACCTCAGCAGGGCTGGATTATATATGATTGCAGAGGGAGTGGTTTCTCTTTTTTCCCAGACGTTCTTCTGCTAAGGTGTGGAGAAATGTATGGTTAAAAAAATCTTTTTTTTAAATTTTTTTATGTGATCATATTATTAGATCACACCCAAGCAAGTGAATCATAAGTGGGAAGATTTATCAGGTGGAGGCTTCATAAACCTCAAAAAGGTATAACCACTTTCGATTAATGTAGTCAATGACAAATGAAAATAAAGCTGTGGGAATTTTTTTGGGAAATGTTAGCACTTGTGCCAGTGAAAAAAAGCATGCCAAATCTGCCATTTCAAAACTTCCTTGATTAAATGTTAACTTTTGTAGCAAAGCATCAGTGAATGTAGGTGTTTAAACCTCAGAAAACATTGTCAACCTCAGGAGGTCAAACTAAATATTGTATAAACCCTTTCCACTTTTAATATATCCATTTATTTATATGAGGCAACTCCATTACAAACATACAGTCTCCAATTTTATTATACTGTCATGGAAATTCCCAATACTAATCTGACTTCACCACAGACAATTCAAACAACTACCAGTTGTTAATATAATAACTACAGTATCTCGAGCTAATTCCCTGAATTCCCCAAATACTTAAAAAACTATCCAATACATCCCTGAAGTATGGTGACGGCGTCCCGTCAAGAAGCTACTATCGCTACCTCAATCTTTAGTACTTCTATCCCTCAGCTGTGCAGCATATACCAGACACCACTCCCAAGTTGCTCTTTGCAGGATGAAAGTTTATTCACGGCTGGGAGTCCACTGGTCACAACAACCAAGAGAGACTCCCTGAACAGAAGGATACAAGAACATTTATACCTTGTAGTTGAGTAAAAATCAATGTCACTCAAGTCTTCCTCACTGTAATTGGTTATACTGATCTGATTATTGGTTTGTCACTGTTAGTTCTACTATTTTAAGCACTTTTGGGGTAAGTATAGATTATTTAATCACAGAGACACAGGTCTTTGATCTGAGCATCCTTAGTCTGCACTTTTCTGAATTGAGCATATCCTTTTGACTCCTTCTGAGGCCATCACATAAAATATTTCCATCACAATATAAAATTGCAATTGTACAGTATTTTCTATCAAAATAATAAATAAACGTAAAAATAAACAGCAGTTATAAAATGTAAAATAATAATATATGATTTGATGATTATTTAATATTAGTTTGTATGGTTTGTGAGTTATAAACAAAGAAACATAAAATTATACTGCCAGCTAGTGTCAGGCAGTTTTCATTGCACTTGGCATAGTAATAGTTGAGATATGGGACCATCCAATTCTGATTTATTTGTGCTTTACAGTTACTGTTGCCCATGTACATGTAGGAGAGAAAAATAATATGGCAACTAAGAAGTACATGAAAGCAAAGCTGAAAAAAGTACTGCCTGGACCCCTAACAAGATCATTTTAATATGGATATGGGAAGACTATTCATTAGAGACACATGATTTGATTAGAGACACATGATTTCATCCCAACAAATAGAAAACAAAATAAATAACAGTGAACATCGATTAGAATGAACAAAACACAGTGTTCTTCAAGTAACCCTTGCTTTTGAACCACTGGGCTCTGGCAACAACATTATTAGCATAGTCACCACCTATGGTGCCCACGTCCATGCGCTCATGATATTCCCCCTGAAATAGACTTAGGCGAAGGACCTAGACCCCCCAACCGGACCTGCTCGCAAGGGGCGTAGCCATATGTGACCCTGGACCATAAAACCAGTCATAAGGGTCAATTTTTCAAAATTGAGATGTATACAAATACGCTTTCCATTGATGTATGGTTTGTTATGATAGGACAATATTTGGCCGAGAAACATCTATTTGAAAATCTAGAATCTGAGGGTGCAAAAAAATCAAAATATTGAGAAAATCGCCTTTAAAGGGG